CGGCAGCAGCGCATGAACTTAGCGGAGAGGGGTGTGCTTGCGGCAGATGCCGGACATGGTCGCGCCGTGACAGAATATCCACGAGGGAACGCCAGCCAGGAGGGCAGAAGACGGAGGAGGTTTTCTGCTCGTAATGCAAGGAGGGAGATGCTGGTGACGGCGGCTGGCGACGTGGATGTCTGACTTCATCGCGTCCGGGCTGGCACTTGGCCGTTCGTGTCGCTCGCTCCCGTCGTCAGGCGGACCCGCTCCCGTCCCGACGCAAGCTTGCCTAACCACCAGCCTACCAGCCCGTCGATCCAGCAGCATCACGGCTCTGCCTACGCATCCAAGGGTAGGACGAGCCGGCCTTCAGTCCACGGAGCTCGTGATCCTCGCCCAGACAGACCGTTAGTCGCAGTGCTAGCCAGCACCGCTCCGGGAAGCTAGTTGGGGAGCTGCCGTTCCCCAGACCTGTCCCTCCATCTAGTCCCCCCTCGTTCCCCCCCTCGATCGCAGCCATTCCTCCGACACAAGACATACAGAGATACCGCCAAGATGTCGCAGCGCCATGCTCTCTCTGATGACCAGGTACGCACCGTCCCCGGGTCGTGTGCGGTGTGTTGTGCCAAGCTGACTGGGGTCCCCGTTGTTGTGTGCAGGTTGCGGGCGAGCTCCGCAAGATGACGGCGTTCATCAAGCAGGAGGCCCTCGAGAAAGCCCGCGAGATCCAGATCAAGGCGGATGAGGAGTTCGCCATCGAAAAGTCCAAGCTGGTCCGCCAGGAGACGGCCGCCATTGACGCCCTGTACGAGAAGAAGTTCAAGCAGGCTTCCATGTCCCAGCAGATCACCCGTTCCACTCTCGCCAACCGCACCCGTCTCCGGGTGCTCTCCGCCCGGCAAGAGCTGCTGGATGAGCTGTTCCAGCGCGCCCGTGAACAACTCAGCAGTGCCACTGCCGACACGACGAAGTACCAGGAGGTCTTGAAGGGGTTGATCCTGGAGGGGCTGTACGCTCTGAACGAGGACAAGGTGGCGGTGCAAGCACGGCAGAAGGACTACGACCTGGTGAAGAAAGCTATTGGAGATGCTCAGAAGGAATTCAAAGACAATGTCGGTCGGGATGTCACGATAGACATTGACGAGAAGAACCCCCTGCCGGATGGAACGTAAGTTTTTTGGCTGGGCCCTTGATTTATCTCTACAAATGGATTGCGAATCTGCTAACAATTTGAATCTCTAGTGCGGGTGGTGTGATCATTGTTGGCGGTGCCGGCAAAATCGACGTCAACAACACCTTCGAAGAGCGGTTGCGGCTGTTGGAGATTGACGCCTTACCAGCCGTCAGAGAGACGCTATTCGGCAAGAACGAGAACAGGAAGTTCGTTGACTAAAGTGATGACTGGACAAAGTCTCTGTGATGGCTGGATTCCTCTTTCTATTTTTTATGCTTCTCCCGATATCTACCTCTATTTGTCCCGTGTCTCTCCGATGTATGAGCTGCATTATTATGTCTGGTGGTTTCCGATGTTTTTTGTTTTTCTTCCCCGTTTCTTTTCAAGCTTACATAGGTACGCGGGTGTTATGCTGCTCCATTTTATTTATTTTTTTCTCCTACCTGCTGGTCATAGAGAACGGTGTATTGTAGGTGCTCGTTTTTTCCTTTGCTCGGTGCCCCCAGAAAGGAACGGGATTAAGGGCCCTACTGGTCCAAGCGACCGTGGACCGATCGATCCTTTTTCGAATCACAGGCATAGAGGAAAAAGGCATACATCATCTATATAAAATGTATATGATCGTTGCCATCATCATTATTATTTTCTTTTTTTTTCCCTTGCTTCTCATCATTACATTAGATGTTTACACTCATGAGAAACGTATGAAGATTTTTGCCTGGGATTTTCCATATCGGGAAAAAAAATTGGAACGTGACTGATCAGGCGGCATTTCACTGAAGGTCAAGTGTCAAGTGTCGTCGCGAGAGCCTGTGTCTTCGGCTCCTTGAGCTCTGTCCCTTTTCGTCGCCAGGAACTTCTCCATGAAAGAGCCACTGCGGCCGATCCCGCTCCAGTCCTCGGGACCAGCGGGTCCAAAGAAAGACTTCTTCGGCGGGGGTTTGGATCGGACAGAGTATACGATCCGATAGTGTAAGGCCTCGAGGCTCTGCTTCGCCTCCGTCCGGCGCAGATGCGATGCTCCAGAGTCCTCGATGGCCGAGAAGATCCGCTTGATGCGTTCTGCGAGAGCGTCCACGTCGGCATTGAAATTGTTCTCGGCTTCCTTGTCTGGGAATGTTGGCGTGATCCGCCCCAGATCGATAATGACGTTTAGTAGTGATGTGGTAGCACCGAGTTCCGCGTAGTCATAACCGCCCCGTCTCTTGTCTTTATACAGTTTGACATCGAAGCGCTTGTCCCGGAGATGATGCGTGATACGCCTGAGATCGAGAACAGCATCGGGGGGTTCTGTCAGTGGGGAAGGGTCTCGAATGAAGAAGGCCACCGCCAGGCGGCACCTGAAGAGGGCGATCCAAGACGAAGCGGGTAATATGTGCTTCAGCAGCTGACTCTGTAATGCTACGTCTTGAATGGTATTGAATGCAGAGGTACAGATTCGGGTGATCTAAAGAAAGTAAGCATAGGCTTTTTTTTAGCGATCCATGGGAGGGCAAGATTACCATGCTGTCCCAGACCTCCTGTGGGACATTTTGCAAAAGTGCAACTATGGCACTCTCCAAAACTGAACAAACCATGCTGTTTTTCATTAATGAGGTGTCGAGGGCCAATCGAAACAGGATCTGCAATGCATGCTCCCGGGTCTCATTGCAGAATCTATCACACTGCATGTCAGCATATACATCACCTGTAGAGGGAAATGCTTCCGAGAATCTTACAGGTCCGCTGCGTCTCGCAGCACTTCTAGCACCGAAAGAAGATACTTTGGGTTGCGTGATGGATTTTCTGGACGAAACGAGTAAGATTGTCTGAAGAGAGACAGAAGAATAGCCAGAGCGACGACTCACGATGATGACGACGGGTGATTGAATCAGAAATTATCCTCTCGGATAAGTTCAATGCTGCAGGTTTAGCCCCTAACGACCTAAACACCTCATCTATGTCCTCTGGGCGAACAAGTGAAGCTATTCGTCGGGGTGAAGTACGCTTTCAACGGACTGCGTCAGAATGAATGGGAATATAGGCTTGCCAGAGAACCAGGGAGAAAACAACGAACCTTGATTGCTCTGCAATAAGCATGTCTCAGATCATCTCGAGGTTCTGACGGTACTATGTGAAACAGTTAGCATCTGTAAATAAATGAACACACTAATTGACACGTACTAGAGTGGAGGATCCAGATTATCAATTCATCTGGCAGCAAATCTCTTGCAAAAGCGAATTCCAAAATACCCGAATGGAACGCTCGTTCACGAGAAGCAGGCTCTAAAGTTCCTTTAGTACCTATGCAGAGAAAAAACAAGGGAAGGTCACGTCTCGTCCAACCTCGTAAAAATGCTTCCCTTGAAGAAGGGAGTATAGAATCCCGGGGAAACTCGGGCGGGGATGGAGTAGTAGCCTGATCACTGAAGAATGACCACGACTTGTCTTGGTCAAACGCCTCCGTCCTCCGAACCGCGTTGAGCAGACGCTGAAGATCCGTCTCGTCTTTCTCTTCAGCGAAAGCCGAGGTCAAAACATCTTCACGAATCTCTTTACTTTGGCTCTTGTCTCCCGAACTGGTCTCATTTGGGGCCTCTTTGCCTTCCTTCTGGCGACTCTCGAGAGCAGCTTTGGCCCTTGCCACACCAGCTTCGGTCTCTTCATCATCGACCGCATCCGTGACGAGAGATTCCAGTGTGAATTTGTATTTCGGCTTAGGCACCTCTGGCATGAATATCCTGTCTGTTCTGTTCTTTGCACTCGTCTCTCTGGGTCGTAACGTCCTCTCAGAGTCCACAGTTTTGGCCTCGGAATCTTTTTTCTGATCTGGTGGTGCGGGTGCGGATTTCGTGAACTTCTTCAGGAGCTCCTCTGGTGACTCCAACGACTCGATGGAGTCTGTATATTCTCCTTCCGAATCAACGACAATCTCCTCGCCATTCTTGATAATGCGTTGCGACGAATTGAAGCTGCCGCCAACTGACGAACTGCGCTGCGTGCCGGCACTGTTCCCGAAGCTCTGCTGCCCTGCGTCATGATGGGCAGCTTCGTTGACTGCGCTGAGCAGTGATTCTTTAAGCTGCAGACTCGGCCCGGATTCAATTGACTGTGACGAAGCGAGGTGCGAGGGAAGGGATGAGGGTGGATCGCTGAGGGGCGAGGATTGCTGGTCAGTCGCGGGGGCACGGTCTTCTGGATTGGCAGCCTTGGAGGAGTCGTTCTCAACAGGCTCGTCCCGTCTCAAGGGAAATGATGGACGCTTGAAGAAATCCTTGATGGTCCGCGGCTTGGACATGTCGGCCGCTTCGAATAGCGAGGTGCATTTGGATCTGGCCAGGAACCAGCATCCTCGTTCATGATAACGACACGTCTGATAGCGAATTACGCGCGCGACAGAGCGCGCGGTCACATGTCACATTTAACTTGATTAGTCAGCCAATCCTTATGAGCAAGATGTTTCGATGCAGAAATGCGCGACGTGGATTCTGGATAAATTCTATCGTATGTACATTTACAAATCCGATGGACTCTGTCATCTACATGTCCGTGTCCTTTTGTCTGTTATGGTAACCTGTGGAGTGTTCATCTATATCGAGTCATGGTCTGCTCAGAGCCAGCCATGGATTCTGATTCAAATATGAACGACTCCAACCTAGACTATACGGAGACTATGCGAGCTGAATTTCAGGTTATTATTCTGTACGAGGGCTGATCAATGATAAATACGAATAATGTTGCTTCTTGATGCGCCGAATGCTCGCGCTGAAAGACAATCGGGGGCGGCCCCCACGGCTTAAAATCCGGCACAGGCTGAATAATTACCGTACGGGAGCAGAGGCTATAGCTGGAAAAAAAATAAAGTTGCTGGCTGCTGTACTACTCCGTACGTGGGTGGCGCACATGACCTAAAATAGCCATGTCCGATATCTGGATAGGATGATCTTGACGTAAACTTGCAACCCTGCACAATGCAGACACCTGGCAGGTTACTCTGTACGGAGTACTTGATTAATGAGATTCTGCGATGTTGTGGTTCGTGACACAGGACTCCTTTTGGCATTCGAAGCCGACTCCTCGACGGAAGCTGGGCCTTAATGTAGTCAAGCGAGATCTGTCTTCATTTCCGTCCGTTTGAGGGTTCTCGCTTCGAGAAGAAAGAAAGGATCGACATGACTTCGAAAAAGGGGCCCTCTTCACATCAGATCGATCATCAGCCATAGCAAAATAATAATAAAGAACTGGGAGGCAATTTAAACAGACTAAATTCAAGCCTAGTAGCTTTCCTCTGCAAGTGATTGTAGATGGCCTGAGCTTTGACTGCTTGAAATGATATGGAAGCAATTCTTCATTGTTGCTGCTGCCCCAGCTATAGTGCACGTTGACGATCTACTCCTTACTCCGTGCTCCGTCCTGTTTGCCCCATCGGGGTGTAACTTGTGCATAAGACTCGTCCGTGTCTACTCCGTACGGCGTAATTGGCGGCTGGAGGAGAAGAATGGGGCCAACAGGCGTGTCGAACCACACAGTGGCCTCGAAGATCGTCATTTTTAGCAGCTGATCGGAGTTAGTCGAGTGCGCGTTCACCTCCTTTCTTTGCCGTCTAATCTACCACGTTCCCAGCCGGCGCAAGGAAAGCCAAGACTAAGATCGAAAACTAGAAATATTTTCCAGGTTTCTTTGTCTAACTGCGGTTCCGCTGTGTCGGCGCTCAGCCTCGTCCATTATGCATTGATTTATCAGCCACATCGGAGCCCGTACACGATGACATAGCAATGCCGCTGTCACCATGGAACGTCATTCAGAGTTTTTTCCAGATGACGTTCTCATACCCACGCTGTGTGGAGCGCTGGGGCAGGGTGCGCCATCAGGCTTCTCTCCACTCTCTTGCCGAGAACCTGCATTGGCGCAGGTACCCGGTTTACGGAGTATACAGCCATGGCTGCCATGCGCTGCAACTGACACATGCATAGTCATGTAACCAACATGTCTACGAACTCTGCATAGCCTGCAGGTTATTTCTTGTTTCTTGAATTCTTCATGGCAGTAGTCCGGGTTAGCAGGAATACAGCAGACAGACTGTCCTGTAATATGTTCCCCGTACGGAGTACAGTACATTATGATTATGATTATGACTGAAATATCAATGGCTGGCATCAACGGGAGTCGATCGGGGGGAAATAAAAAAATTAAAAAAAAAAGAAGAAGAAGAAGAAAAGGAAAGAGGGCGGATGTTCCTCTATGGTTAATTAATAATTCGAACCAGAAGGAGAGCTGTTCATGGAGCTGTTCAAGGCGTTGCGGCTCATTAGTCATATCGATACCGGATTTCATTGTTGCCACAGCGGACCACATAATTTTCTTTCATTTTGTTTCGCTCTTCCATATCTCTCGCAGAACCAGAGACGGGATTCTGGCCGCATTGCAATAATCACTGGTGCTACGATTCCGCGTCGGAGGGAGGTGCCCTAGATGGGAAATACAATACATTAATTACATTACGACGGAGCCATGCACGACTTGGCCTGGTTACCTAAGCCCCCTCCGAGCCCCGACTCCAGCCCAGGGGAAACATGGAAAGCTGCTGAAAATTTCAATCCGATGGAATGTGACTGGAGGCTGACGACGACCGGATCACTATGCACAGCTACCGTCTGTGCTCTGCATTGCTTGCGTGCGTCTGATCCGATGATTAGACGGCATCAGATAATAATGCTGGCAGCATGATGGCTGTGCTGCTGCTTGTGGTCGGCCCGTAAAGCCGACTCGTAGAGAAGGAGTGCCAATAGTCCCGCGAAGAGGCGCTGCAACCCGCGCTCCCGCCAGCTCCGGCCCGCCAAGCGCGCCCGTGAAGGGACGGACTCGCTCTCCCCTCAACCCCCAAACGACTGGCTAAGCATCCCATCCCATCCTTCTATCTGGCCTCTTTCCTCCCCCTGGGAACCGTTCAACCCTCCCTGGTGTCCTTCACCTCGAGCGCTCTTCTCTTCCCCTGGTCTTGACTGTTGTCTGCCGCAATTGTCTCCTCCGGTCAACGCCGTTCTTCGCGCTCCTCGATCCCGTCCGTTCGTCATCACTTTCCCCCCGTTCGCGCTCATCGGCTCCCTCCTTACCTGCGATTTTTCTAGCTCCCCTGCGTACCCAGCGTCGACGCCCTTCTCCTGGTGACTGTGCTTGATCCGCCGTCATCCTGGCTCAAAGAATCGTTTTCCGACTTTGCCAACACCCCCTGATCGATTGCGGTGCCAGAGCCTCGCGGACGTGTTGCGCTGTTAGGGTCCGCCACGGCGATTCGGATGCCCGGTCTCTAGATATATACTAAACCACATCGTCGACCTCATATATGCCCCCCAGGGCGATTGCAGGCCTCAAATGGCTGTGATCCAGTTTGCCGGGGACGGCGACGAGAACGGCAACCCGGTTCAGGAGCCTACCAGCCAGATCTCGAAGCCGACCAAGCGGCAACGATGGGCCACCCAGCGCCTGACGCCCTCTGGAGGCGTGCGGAAACGGGTGTCCATTATGGACCGTTTTCACAAGCGCGCAGGGTCGAGAGAGGAGAAGCGAAAGTCAGGAGCCAGTTCGCAGCCGACCGTCGATGGTCCCTCGACGGAAGAGAGCGGTCAAGAACCTGAGAAGCCATCGAGGAGGATCTACTTCAACATTCCTATCCCAGATAGCGAACGCGATGAAGACGGCAATCTCAAGGCGAATTATCCGCGGAATAAGATCCGGACTTCCAAGTATACCCCGCTGACCTTCGTTCCGAAGAACTTGTGGCTACAATTTCACAATATTGCGAATATGTATTTCTTGTTTATCATTATTCTTGGCGTGAGTGACCTGGCCCCATGTTTTCCGGGGAAAGACAATTTGCTGATACAATGTTGATCTCTAGTTCTTTCCCATCTTCGGTGCCAATAACCCTGGTTTGAACGCGGTTCCTCTGATCGTCATTGTTGTCGTGACGGCAGTCAAAGATGCGATTGAGGATTGGCGGCGCACGGTCCTGGATAATGAACTCAATAATTCACCTGTCTACCGCCTGGTGGACTGGAACAACGTCAATTCAACCGAGGATAATGTCTCCCTGTGGCGTCGGTTCAAAAAGGCGTGCACCCGCGCCGTCATCTTCACGTACAGGAAAATCAAGTCGATTCGCCGCAAGGAGGCGCCCAATGTCTTTGACGATGACAGGCGAGGCTCGCTCGTGACCGACCGTCAGTCGATTTACTCCCACCGCGCTTCCTACTACTCCACCGCCGGCGATCACGAAACGGATGACAATGCCATCCAGATGACCCCGGTGCCGTCGCCGAACCCCGATGCACGACGGTCTCAGCAAGAGGGATGGCCGGACTCTGCGGCTGATGTAGACAGCAACGGGTACCTGCAGCCCGGTAAATCGGTGAGGGACAGCGTTGCACCCGGACCCAAGAAGGCGGGCAGTATCCTCGACCGATCGAAGCAGACTCCGGAGAAGGCCCGGTTCAAGCGAGACTACTGGAAAAGTATTCAAGTCGGCGATTTTGTTCGGCTGTATAACGGAGATCAGATCCCCGCGGACATTGTCATTCTCTCGTCCTCGGATCCGGATGGCGCCTGCTACGTCGAAACCAAGAACCTGGACGGCGAGACGAACCTGAAGGTCCGGCAGGCTCTGCACTGCGGGCGCCAAGTGAAGCATGCACGAGACTGCGAGAAGGCGGAATTTATCATTGAGAGCGAACCACCTCACCCCAACTTGTACTCCTACAATGGTGCTATCCGGTGGGAGCAGCGAAACGAGAAAAACCCGGAAGCCCCCCGCCAGGAGATGGTCGAGCCGATCACCATCAACAATATGCTTCTGCGAGGGTGCAGCCTGCAGAACACGGAATGGGTTCTCGGCGTCGTCGTCTTCACCGGTTCGGAGACCAAGATTATGCTGAATTCGGGAATCACGCCGAGCAAGCGGCCCAGAATGGCGAGAGAACTCAATTGGAATGTCATCTATAATTTCATCATCTTATTCATCATGTGCTTGCTCTCCGGGATCATCAATGGGGCTGCATGGGGTGTGAGTAATGGTTCGCTACACTACTTCGAGTACGGGTCTTATGGCGGCTCTCCTCCGGTGGAGGGTATCGTTGCTTTTTGGGTGGCTGTCATCTTGTTCCAGAACTTGGTCCCTATCTCGCTTTACATCTCTCTCGAAATCGTGCGGACTGCCCAGGCCATTTTCATTCACTTCGACAAGTACATGATCTATGAAAAGTTGCAGATGGCCTGCATTCCCAAGTCGTGGAACATCTCGGATGATGTGGGACAGATCGAATACATCTTCTCGGACAAAACCGGAACGCTCACGCAGAATGTCATGGAGTTCAAGAAGTGCACAATCAACGGCGTTGCGTACGGTGAAGCGTATACGGAAGCGCAGCTGGGAATGAAGAGGCGGGAAGGGATCAACGCGGACGAAGAGGCCGCGAGAGCTCGCCAGAAGATCGCGGAGGATCGAGTTCGCATGCTACAAATGCTCCGCGAGATGCACGACAACCCATATCTGAAAGACGAGAAGCTGACGTTCGTCGCTCCCGACTTCGTCTCCGACCTGAATGGTCGATCGGGCCCTGAGCAGCAAAAGGCAGTAGAAAATTTCATGCTCGCTCTGGCTTTGTGCCATACCGTCATCACCGAACACACCCCGGGAGACCCTCCTCAGATCGAGTTCAAGGCTCAGTCTCCCGACGAGGCAGCCCTGGTTGCCACGGCCCGAGACTGTGGATTCACGGTACTCGGCCGCAACGGCGACGATTTGATCGTGAACGTCATGGGCGAAGAGCGAACCTACACTGTCCTGAACACCCTGGAATTTAATTCGACGAGGAAGCGGATGAGCGCCATCGTCAGGATGCCGGATGGCACCATTCGGCTCTTCTGCAAGGGTGCGGATAGCATCATCTATTCCCGGCTGGCGCGCGGCCAACAGCAGGAGCTTCGAAAGACCACCGCTGGACATCTGGAGATGTTTGCCCAGGAAGGTCTTCGGACCCTTTGCGTCGCGGAGAGGGTTCTCAGCGAGGAAGAGTATCGCGTCTGGAGTGAATCACATGACTTGGCCGCCTCGGCTCTCACGGACCGGGAGCAGAAGCTGGAGGAAGTGGCCAGCGCGATTGAACAAGAACTCATGCTTCTTGGAGGGACTGCCATTGAAGACCGCTTGCAAGATGGCGTACCTGACACCATTTCCTTGCTGGCTGATGCGGGTATCAAGTTGTGGGTTTTGACCGGCGACAAGGTCGAGACTGCCATCAATATCGGTTTCTCTTGCAATCTCTTGAACAACGACATGGAACTGATTGTTTTCAACGTCCCCCCCGACAAGCCAGAGGCGGCCGCTACGGAATTGGAAAAACATCTTCGGAAGTTCGGATTGACCGGATCGGATGAAGAGCTGATCGCGGCCCGTAAGGATCATAAAGCACCACCCCCGACCCATGCATTGGTCATCGATGGAGACACCCTGAAATTCATGCTGGAGGACGAGTTGAAGCAGAAATTCCTGATCCTTTGCAAGCAGTGCAAAGCCGTGCTTTGCTGTCGGGTCAGCCCCGCCCAGAAAGCTGCTGTCGTCCGGATGGTCAAGAACGGACTAAACGTCATGGCTCTCTCCATCGGAGACGGTGCGAACGATGTCGCCATGATTCAAGAAGCGGACGTCGGTGTCGGTATCGCTGGTGAAGAAGGGAGACAGGCTGTTATGTCCTCAGATTATGCCATTGGACAGTTCCGGTTCCTCCAGCGGCTGGTCCTTGTTCACGGACGATGGTCCTATCGGCGGCTTGGTGAGACGACGGCGAACTTTTTCTACAAGGTAAGGAGGGCACCCCTTTCTCCGTGGGGTCAGTCCTGGAGGCCGGCTAACTCTCGTAGAACCTTGTCTGGACTTTTGCCCTCTTCTGGTATGCCATTTACAACAACTTTGACGGGTCCTATCTGTTCGATTACACCTACATCATCCTGGTCAACGTGGCGTTCACGTCGTTACCCGTTATTTTCATGGGCATTTTTGATCAGGATGTGGATGACAAGGTCTCTCTTGCTGTTCCCCAACTCTACATGCGTGGTATCGAACGGAAAGAATGGTCCCAACTCAAGTTCTGGTGCGTAGAACCTTGTGGTCGATCAACGATTCCTCCGGTCACTAACGGCGTCTAGGCTCTACATGTTCGACGGGTTCTATCAATCATTGATGTGTTTCTTCATGCCATACTTGCTTTATGCGCCGGGCAATTTTCAAACTGCGAACGGCTTGGGCATTGACGATCGGACGCGCATTGGTGTTCTGGTCGCCTCCTCTGCTGTGATTGCTAGCAACACCTACATCCTTCTCAATACCTACCGTTGGGATTGGTTGACGGTCCTGATCAATGCCATCAGTTCGCTTCTCATCTTCTTTTGGACAGGAATCTACTCAAGCTCACCTGCCTCGCTACAATTCTATGGGGCCGCACAGGAGGTGTATGGTGCCCTGTCATTCTGGGCCGTTCTTCTCGTGACGGTGGTACTCTGTCTCCTTCCCCGCTTCGTCGTCAAGTCTGCGCAGAAGGTTTTCTTCCCTCAGGACGTGGATATCATCCGTGAGCAAGTCACGATGGGAAAATTCAAATACCTCGACCACTTCGAGGCCTACGTCCCACCCAAGGCTGAGGCCATAGTCGGCGGCGCTTCCGCAGGCAGTGATATGTCAGCGGCTTCCTCGGACCTGGGGAAACCGATTGAGCCAAGGGTGCGAAGAGATCCCACCATGCCGGAAGAGGAACGGCCGTTCTACCCACCGTCTATTGCACCTACGGCCAACACTCACAATCCCCGAAGCCAGAATGGGAGTAATGGCACAAATTATACGGGGAGCCTCGACCTGGGAAATCCCCGTCATCAGTCGTGGGAACACCCCAGACCATCTTTAGACCGAAAACGTTCTTCGGTCAATAGTAACGACTTCTCAATGGGCGGTATGTTGGGGCGCGTTGACTCTATTAATGCAGCTCCCCAGAGTCCGCACAGCCCGCTGAGGAGACCTACCGACTCTCCCACAAACCCTGTATAGCATTTTTTTTTCCCCCTTCATGTTATTATTCACCCCATATGCCCTTGATGACTACAGTCATTCCTCTATGTTTTTTTGTCGATATGTGTTTTGGAGATATATATGGCAGGGCAATTTCTTTCTGTCTTTTTTTCTTTTGCAGTCTCATCTTGCAATTTCCATATAGATGGCGTCTGGTATGTATGCTGGCTGGAAAGGTTGGTTGGCGCATGGGATCTGTCTCATCCTGAGGTATTTCATTTTCCTGATTTTTCCTGACTCACTGTATTTCCCTTCTATGTGACATTATTTTATTTCCGTTGGCATTCTGCATCATGCTCGGGTCTTGTGTATGCCTTCATCTTGCCACGCTGCTGTCTGATCCCTAACAGATTTCAGTTCTCGATATGGGGGATCCACACGCTCTTTGGGACCGATCGGCTTTTTTCTCATGTTCATGTTTATCGATCGTCTTTCTGTCCCTCTGTAAAGTTAACACGCGTGGAAGAAAAAATTTAGTAACTTATTATTTCTCCGAGTCTCCTTCTAATGTCTTTAAACCGGCTGAGTATTGCAAATACAAGGTAGTAGGAGCTCCCTGTCTAGATAGGGGATCGAAGATAGTGATGTCACCAATCTATAGACAGTGCAGAATTCCTTAACATCCTGGACTTTTTTTTTCTTTTTCTCGTTACAGGCCTTATAGGTCAAGCGAAGCGAGACTGGCTTGAAACATTGAAGCAAAAAAAAATACCTGGTCTATGCCAGAGAGTTTTAACCTTCCTCCTTGTAATGCGCTTCCCAGGCAGGCTCACAAATATATATCATTCCCGGATAAGGTAGCTTTTATTATATTATCGACTCTCCAGAGGGGCTTTAACCGTATTCCTTTCTATATTTTATTTTGCCACAATTCTTGCCACATATCTCTTCCTAATATCTAGTATGCTTATCTAATTTGGTAAAGACATTGACGGTGTGCAAAGACGGAAATGGTGACTCCATTTCTGCATTCACTGCCAGCTGGAGGGGTCTTGACGCGTTCTTTGTTCACGCGTTAAGTGGGCTGGGCGGTCAGTCGCCGCACAGCTGTCTGGCCAATCAACGCCCGAGTTCCGCCCCGGTCTTTTTGATACGCCGTGGAGGCCAGTAATGCGTACCTGCGTATCTTTTCGCATCATCCAGGTCCTCCAACAACCCAGCCCCTCTTGTCCTGCGAGAGGCAAGACAACGAAAGAAGTCACCTCTAATCGCCTTTGTTGCCCCACTGCATTGTGCTTTACATTCACTGAAGGCGCTGGTCGAGGTACCTCTTTCTTGGGAAGCTATTTCCCTGGGGCCGACTCAAATCTATCTCATCGAATCCAAACCACATGCGGATTTGCCGCTCGCCAGCTCCCAAGGCATATGGCTAGCTGAAGCATATGGTTGACCTTGCTATGGACAAATCCTTCTGTCTATTTGTGCCTCGGATATCAACGTTCGCTCATTCGTGAGGGTGGTTTTGCCCCCTCCATCTGGCAGAAGCCTTCAGTCGAGACATGGAGTTTATGGATGCGGTTGGGTGAGTTATGCTTGACGAAGACTTCGAGAGGATATGACTCTATTTCACTCCTTCTTCATGATTATCTTGATTGTGAGGCTTGTCTCTAACGCGTTTGTTTCCGGTGCACAGGGAGTTGCAAGCCCTCCCCAACGATATCCACCTCCTCTGTCCTCGACAGCATGACGACGATTTCTCGCGGTACGATGACTTGACCGAACAAGATGAGTCGGGAAAGAGCGTCGCACAGTTGGTTGAAGAGGCGAGAGCTCGCAGGGAAAAGTTCCTGTCCTGCATGCAAATACTGGCCTTCAACCAAGATGGCGTCGCAGAGCTGCAGGATTGGATCTGGCGCAAGCTCGATGATGCCTTGGAAAGGTGCGATCTTTGTATCCAGGAATACTATAAAGGAAAGATCTGGCTCGTGGAAAAACTGAAGGAAAACTACGACGATGAGGACATCGAGAAGTTCGCTCGGATGCTGGATGAATGGGACATCAAACGGATAACGAGGAATCTAACGACCGCTGCGGAGAAGCTTAAGGCACTTCCACCACAGGAAATGAGTATCCATGCTCTCGATACGGCCTCTTTGCTGTCGATATTCGAAACCCTGAGCTGTGAAGCCATGCTGCGCAACGACCGGCTCCTGAAAGACTATTTTGATGTTCCCTTCAAGCTGGTCCAAACGAAGCGCCCTCTCAAAGTCTCCGATTACATTCCAGCCGTTACTTACTTCTTATTCGACCCCGACCAAACTCGGAGCTTCTGGGCTATTAGTGCTTGGTCGCGCTACCCTCGGCCCCCAACGACTGCGGAATTCGATTGGGCTGTGAAGGAAGGTCTGCTTCGCGCTCTTGCTGAGGCCTCCCAGCAACCACCAGACATCGCTGTGGTGCAGCGTCTCTGGCGTGGATTGCAGTTCATAGTCAAGAGACTGGATAAGGAGCAGATCACCCATAACCTGCGTGCTCTGGATATCGATGCCTGTCGACTGTCAGTAGAACACCTCGCCATCCCATCTCCAGGGTTGCGCTTCCTCTTGAATACCATTCAAATTCTACTCGAGAAGGCTCCCGGGGATTTCTGGGATGCCATGCAAACCATATCCCCTCAGGCAATCGTCGAACAGGTCTTTTACAACCCACAACTCGAGGCCTTCCTTATGCAGGCCACCGATGACGAACCATATGATAAGTCTATCCTAAAGGAGATGTTGTCATGGATACAGCCATTTATGTCATCGCTGAAGGGTGCTCACCAGCCATCGGCTTGCCGTTTTCTTGTCTCTCAGCTTCTCAACAGATTCCAAGATCCTCGATTCCCGAACATCTCGCGGTATCATTGCTTCCGAACCGGTCTCACCGCACTTCTCCACACCCTCCGTACCTTCACCGATCATGAATCATCGAGAGGCTCTGTCGCACGTGTCGTTCTGTCTGAGACCCTTCAAATCGTCAGTGACAACATCAACCAAATCCTTGAACCTCCAATGTTTGCGGTTGAACCAGTTCAACAGCGCGAGATAACTTCTTCGTGTATGGATGTCATTAGGAACACTCTAGCCCTTGAGTGTCAATCTCTTAAAACAGATTATGAAGTTATTCTCCGACAGAATACTCTTCATCACGGCGTCAGTACTTATTCACCTGCTATTTGGGATGCCGTCGTCGCGCACTTGCACGAAAGCAACGGGGGGTTGTCGACTGCTGCCCTTCTCGGTATCCTCCCACTCGTTGGTTTGGAGAAGTTTCCCACGAAAGGCGAAGACAGCCGAGAAAAGACTCATTTCAATGTCATCTATGGACATCTCACCCACTGGCCTGCCAAATTATCGAGCGGTTAGCAGACTTCAATCCAGAGCATCTGGATAAGCTATTCGAGAGCCAAGACACCAGTAGTGCCTTGGTCTCTGCGCTCTTCTCTGCTGATTTGAACACCTATCAAGCCGCAGTGGATCTCATCAGAATGTAANCGGGCAGTCTACTAGAAGAGACGCTATCTCGCATCTGCTGCAGTCGTTTTTCTCAACCACGATGTACGGCTTCAGCTGGTCGTTCCGTCGGATATCAAACATGAAAACGTTCGCGTCTGCTCCCAGGATGATCCACACTGGCACAGATATTGTGGACATCCTGTGTGACACCCAAAGCGGCATGCTAAGGACCCGCAAACTTGCCGATCGTCGAGAAGCTCTGGCGCTCCAAAAGCTGTGGGAGTACCAATGGCAAGCCCTGACGACCATCTTCGACGAAACGGAATCGTGGCATCGTCGAGGCAATGAGAGGAGCGTCATGCTCGAGTTCTGTCGAGACACTATACAGTTCGCTGATCTGCTTTTCGCTCAATACGGCGTGTTTGCGAGTGCAGTCGTTGATGCCGATCCTGCTCTGGAAGCGTCTGCCCGGGAAAATCTATTGAAATCACCCACCGCCACCATGAGTGGCATGGTGAAGTGGCTGCGACTCAAAGATGAATACCTCGCAACTACATTGGTTGGGCTTGTCTCGAAGCTTCTCCGCCGTCTGGGCGAGCTAAATGTGACAACTGTCAGTCAAGATGCTTTAGATTATATTGACGGAGTAGCTGTCAAGTCGACCATCAAGACGATTTTGACGCCACGGGAGAAGGCTGAACTGGTCGGTGCTCTGGAAGCCTACTACAAGAAGCCCGTTGTAACTGCTTCCACTGCAGCACTTAAGAAGCAGAGCACGATAACGGCCTTCGCGAAACCGGTTGACACTTCTGGCGCGTCGACCCCATCTCGGGCTACAAGCGAGGATGACTTCGATGACTCGGGTGTTCCCGATGAAGACTTATTGCAGCTGTCGAGGTCCGTCGAGCTAAACAAGGCACGTCTCGCAGCCCAGGCCCAGAAGAAAGCCGAGGCCGCTGCCAAGGCTCCTCTTGCACTCCCCAAGCCTTCTAAGGCTTCAGCAGTGTCGACGGCCAGCATCGAATCGTTCCGCGAAAAACGCGAGAAAGAAAAGGAGGCCAAGAGAAAGCGGGATCTGGCGGAACTTGCACGGTTGAAGAAGAATATTCCAGTGCACGGTGTAGCGGAACAGACGGCCGGACAGGGCTCTGGCGTTAATGGCATCGGAGTGAAAGGCAAAGACCATACTCCTGTGGATAGTATGATGGTTTCTTCAGGTTCGGAGTCAGAATCTCAGAGTGAAGATGAGTTGGACAAGGAGCTCTTTGGAAAGAGGGTGACATCGAAGCCAGATGCAGTGAGAGAATATGAGGAGAGTAAGAGACGGTCCCTCAAGCACCAGGGCCCCGTCAAAAAGGTCAAGCAATGGCGGTCTGCGAGGGACATGCGCGCTCGTCTGGCTCCGGACCTCTCGTCCCTTCACCAGAGAATACTGAGCTGGGACTTTTTCGCTAGTGGCGACCTTCCTCCTAACGCTGAACGCACTGACTACACGCTGGTCTCATCCACCTTCCGGGATCCTATTGAATACCAACGAACATTCGAACCTCTTCTGATATTGGAGGCTTGGCAAGGCTTCCAATCTGCCAAGGAAGACGGTACCTTTAAGCCCTTCGAGATCACAGTCGCCAGCCGCCTTTCGGTTGATTCGTTTGTCGAGGTCAGCACGTCTATGAAGATTCCGGATATGAAGGAATTCGGTCTTGGTGAAGCGGACCTTGTTCTTTTGTCTAAGTCCAAGGACCCTCTGAACGATTCAGCAGCTCCTCATTGTCTAGCAAGGGTGTCCGGCATTAACAAGAAGAAGAGTAGTGTCGAGGTGTCGTATCGTGTAGTCCCTGGCACCCCTGTCGTCCCTCTTCTGGCACCCGCGGTTACGCTCTGGGGTGCCAGAATTACGTCTTTAACGCCCCTAGAACGAGAGTACGGTGCGCTCATGGCCTTGCAGTACTACGACCTCTGTGAGGAAATCATCAAAGCGAAGCCGTCGCCTATTCTCAACTACACTGAGGCAAACTTGAAACCGATAATTGACAACTACAACGTGAATCCAGCGCAGGCGAAAGCCATCAAGTCGGCCCTCGACAACGATGCGTTCACCTTGATACAAGGCCCTCCTGGGTCGGGGAAGACCAAGACCATTGTGGCTCTTGTTGGAGCTCTGTTGAGCAACTCGTTTAGCAATCAAGGGCCAGGTGTTGCAATCTCCCGACCAGGCGAAAACAAGGCCCCTAACCAGGCAGCGAGGACGACGACGTCCAAGAAGTTGCTTGTCTGCGCGCCTAGTAATGCTGCTGTCGACGAGTTGGTCATGCGATTCAAGGAAGGGGTGAAAACACTTCAGGGGAAGCACGAGAAACTCTCCGTCATTCGTTTGGGTCGCAGCGATGCCATCAACACTAATGTGTTGGATGTCACCCTGGATGAGTTGGTCAATGCGCGACTGAATCAGACCTCTCGCAAGGACTCAGGAGAACGGGACCTCCAAAAGATCTATGAGGAGCACAAGGCGGCCGACACTGCTTTCAAGGAGGTACGGAGCAAGCTTGACCGTTGTAGGGCACAAGGACAGCCGGTTCCTCCCGAGCTCGAACGTGAATTTGATCTATTGAAAAAGAAAAGGTCACAGCTCAGCCAAGAAATTGACAATGCCCGAGACCGGAACCACGCAGCCGCCCGCGATGCCGATTTGACTCGGCGTCGTATTCAGCAAGAAATCATAGACGGTGCCCACGTTATCTGTGCGACACTGAGCGGAAGCGGCCATGAAATGTTCCAGAACTTGAGCATTGAGTTCGAGACTGTAGTGATCGATGAAGCTGCCCAGTCGATCGAATTGAGTGCTCTCATCCCTCTGAAATATGGGTGCTCCAAGTGTATTCTCGTCGGAGACCCGAAACAGCTTCCGCCCACTGTCCTATCGAAGGTGGCGTCCCGTTTCCAATACGAGCAGAGTCTGTTCGTCAGGATGCAGAAGAACCATCCGGATGATGTACATCTTCTGGATATTCAGTACCGGATGCATCCTGAGATTAGTCGCTTTCCGAGTATCGCCTTCTACGACAGTCGATTGCAGGATGGACCGAACATGGCCAAGCTCCGCAATCGACCGTGGCATGAGAGTGAGCTTCTCAGTCCATACCGTTTCTTTGATGTCCAAGGGCTCCATCAAAGTGCTCCGAAGGGCCATTCACTGGTCAATATGGCTGAGCTGAACGTGGCTATGCAACTTTATGAACGCCTGGTGACCGATTTCCAAGGGTACGATTTTACCGGAAAGGTCGGAATTATCACGCCTTATAAAGGCCAACTCAAGGAGCTCAAGTCGAGATTCGCAGCCAAGTACGGCAATTCGATCTTCACTGCAGTCGAATTCAACACGACCGATGCGTTCCAAGGGAGGGAAAGTGAAGTCATCATCTTCTCCTGTGTTCGAGCTTCCAACAAGGGCATCGGTTTCTTGGCTGATATCCGCCGTATGAACGTGGGACTGACTCGTGCCAAGTCGTCGCTTTGGGTCCTTGGCAATTCACAGTCCTTGGTTCAGGGAGAATTCTGGGAGAAGTTGATTATCGACGCTAAGGAGAGAAATGTCTATACCGATGGAGACATCCTTCAGATGCTTCGGCGCCCGCAGTTCACGGGCTACCGGAATGTTGAGATGGTCGATGCAGACCTGGATGTTCCAATGGAATCGCCGCCAGGCCCTTCGATGGAGCCATCTGCTGGGCCTGCATCTGTTGGGCGTCCCTCGTCTAATGAGCTGGAATCAGTGTCTGCCAGAAATACACCGGCTCCGCTGCCCGAAGGACCATCGGGAGGATTCAATGGGCTTGACGAGACCAAGACGTGTGGAATCTGTGGCAGTTTTGAACATTTTACCCACAACTGCGATAATACAGAAGCAAAGGAGGCTTCCCGAGGCATTTGCCATCGTTGTGGCATTGCTGGCCATTCCAAAGTGAACTGCACCACGGAGCGCTGCATCCAGTGCGGCGAGTTTGGACATACGGCTCAGCAGTGCACGTCGACGGTTCTACTCTCAAAGGAAAAGAAGAACAAGATTGCAAAGGAAGAATACCGTCACAAACGGCTCCAGCAGGAGCGACGAGAACAGCAGAAGCAGCGACAGCTCGCCGAACACGACCCTAAGGTGCCTGTCGTTCAGGTATCAACCAAGTCTCCTCCGCCTTCGACGAAGTCACCTCCACCTTCGACGAAGCGAAAACTGGAATCAAACGAACCGGCTCCGGCTCCGAAGATCGCGAAGCGTAAAGTTGACACCCGGACTCCCCAGCCTCCTTCGGTAGGTGCTCTGCTCTAAAACACTTAGGTTCTGCTCCCATTGCTGACTTGTTCATTAGGATTTGGTCAAGCCTTCGCGAGATGGTCCGTCGTTCCAGACTATCGCGCATGACGATAAGGCTGCTGCAGGTTCTGGGACAACACCAGACACTAGCAATAATAGCAATAAGGTACGCCAATCTTTCTCTAGCATATCAAGGGGGGCGATCTGGGCGCTAATCCAATGCTTAGGCAGCACAACCACCGCGACCTCCCGCAGGGCCGAAGCCCACCAACGGGGTGCGTCCGCCAATGCCTATGCGCCGTAAGAAAGAGGTCGATCCCTTCATCCGGCCGAAGAGGAGGTGATTTCAGCCTCTTCCGCCTGGATATTCACAGGCTGCGGGCTGGGGATGGATCAGCATTTTGCTGAACAGTTCGTAGTCTGGAATCACGCCTTCTTACTCTATGCCATGCACTTTGTCTCCGCCGACCAAACCTAGTGGGGTAGAATCCTGGTGATGATGTTTCCCCGGTCTCTACGTCTTGCTTTGTTTGACTGGCATGTTTTCTTTTTCTTTCTCCTTTCTTATTTTTTTTCTTGTGCTTAAATTAGCGAACTGCATTTTGGATGGCGTTATGAGCATGTTCTGGGATGATGGACTGATTTGATATTGGGTGTATGGTTTCTTATTCTCATCGGTGGTATAAAACTACTATTACATGCTGGCTGGGATCTTCTCTCTTGTTTAATGTTCCTTTGGGAATGGGACTTTCCAGCAGATATCCATCTTTTGCAGCGCTCGCGGGACGGAGCGCTTGCAAGATAGTTTCTTTCTTGTGCGGGAAGAATGCAAATAAAATAAAAATGTGAATTTGGGGGAAAAAAAGCAAAAAGAGCAGAGAAACGATCTTCATTGCCGTCGGGCCGAGATAACATCGTGAACATTGATTTCGTGGTCGCTGGATGGGGCAATGACAATTTTTTGCATGGGCATTATTGCATGCATTGCATTGCGTTGCATTTGCATCAAAAGCACGTATGCATATATTTCACTGTATATATCATATTGTTCATAGTTATTTATCTCTCTCTCCTTGGGGATTTCTATTTCCAGTGAGGTCATTGATATGGAACAGCTATCAATATCAATATCTTCTAATAATATAACCCTGGTCATCTCGCTCTGTTGACTTTGATCTTGCTTGCTCTGCTGCTGTTGAGACGGCGGTTTCTAGTAGTACGATTGATTTGTGATTATTCTCTTATTCTCTTATCCGAGTTCTGATCTGTCGTGGCTGCACATGTGGAAGGCGCGACGAGCAGTTGGCCCACTGCATGTGACCTGTCACCTGGTCCTCGGCTCCTTCCGTCTCCATCGCATCGCTGGCTCTGCTCTTTCCCTAACTCGACAATCAGTATTCTCCATTGCTCTCTCGCAAACGACGACAGCCGCGGTTTGTTATCCCTTTCTCCATTCTATCCGGTCAGCCGGGAAGAGCTCCCCATCTATGACCTCCCTAGATAGGTGGATCACTACCCGGATTCACATCTCTTCTGGTCTTGACATGTCGGCAGGGACCCGATTTGCCAGCCCTGCGAGGTTGTTTCTATCCCTTGCACCAAACCCCGACAGCCAATTTGATCGCTCACTTTTCTTTCCCTCCCCGCCCCGCTGAGGGGCGACCTGTCGACAAACAACCTTGTCTTATCGCCTGGTTCCAGTCAATCGGATTGATGATGGCATTGAGACAAAGACGGCGTGTCCGGATCTGCATCCCGCAGCAATCTAGATATCTTTTTTCATCTCCACGCTATTATCCATGGTGCCCCACGGATCCCCTCGCGTTCCCTGCGTTTGTTATCTAGCGACAGTTTGAAACTCAGCATCCTCCTGACTTCTGCCAATGGCGTGCTCTGACTTTGAGCATGCATCCTTCCAGACAATCCTCAACTGTACATACAGTACCCGATAAACTCCTGCCCCGACAGCCTGGTTCCCTTCCGGCCGTCCCTCCTAGGTGGTACAGTACATACGACGATTGTCCTCGGTCCGCTGTACCGTTCGACGTGGCTCAGTCTAAATGTCTGTTCCCGGTGTTCTCGGTCGCTCGTCGGGAACTTTATCCCTGTTCGTAGAACCCTCTTGGATCGAGATCTTTCCTTCTTGTTTTACTTCCCCGCCGCACCAGCGACACGTTTGCTTGAATTGATTCCAAATACAAGATGCGCCGGCGTTTCGCAGCTCTCTGTGATGTGATATATTTATTTTTTTTGCTCTCTTCCAACAGCAAAAGCCCCATTTGGTGAACCCTAATATCACCCATTTTTTGAGACGGATTTCTGAGGCGAGAACTCTGTTGATGAGTCCTTGCTTGCATCATCATTTGTCCCTTTGATCCGATCCCTCACCTGGCCAGTTAGGTTACCGTAGTGGTATCGTCGCCTATCTCCACACAGGGAAAGAGAGAGAGGGGATGTGTGTTGGTACTTGTTTCTAAACATACCTCCCCCCACTTCCTACAGATCTTTACAGTTTCCATTATATATAGAGGTCAGGCTACCTTGATCTGGGATTTTCTGTGACCTCTCCTCTCTATCAAAACCCCTGGGGTGTTAACCACAGCGATGGTTCATCACCGGCGAGGAAGTGTATAGTTTTGTATATATACACTTTTTTGTGTCTATACTTTTTGTTTGCACCCCTCATTCTTTTCCTGTCTCACCGTATACATTCCTTTCTCACTCCAGCGGGCGTCAGTGATCCCCGACTTTGATCTATGGCGCGCTGAGGTTTGACATTGAGGTTTTGTGTATGATGCTCTGACAAGCTTCTAGAAAAGGAAACATCCTTTCATTTAGAAAGCGCATCTGTGATACGATCATTGAAATCTGTTTCTACGACACAACGACTCGATATTGAGGAGAAGGGCCTCACCATTTTCGCCGAGACTGGCTTGGACGTCACTTGAATTTCATACTTGAACACACCGTCGCACCCAGCCCAGCGATTTCGACGTGTCATCACTCCGGCGCAGGATCTTTTATAAGATAATGCCCTCGGCGTCTATCGAAGAACCGCAAGTTAATCCTCGTATCGCAGAACTCCGCAGACCCCAACCGCGGTCTGCCGGCGCGTCTAATCGACCTACGAGAAGCCAGAACGTTTCGGAGCTGGTGCGCTTTTTTCAGACGCAAGAGGACTCTTCGCGCGCGGCAGATAAGCTCGACGGCGCGATGGATCTTGTCAAGGCCGGTCGTCGGCTGCTGAGTCAGGCCAGAGCCGACAAGCGCGCAAAGGGAACTGCGAGTCCAACGCCAAGCGAGAAACCAAGTCGAGGCTATCGCAAGCTAGTCGCTTTGCAGCAAGCAAGCTTCCTTCCCCCAAGGGCAAGTACAGAGAGTGTGGATTTATCGCGACCATCACGGACCAAGCGAGACGTGGAGGCCATGGGTCGCCCATGGTTGGACGACAGCGTCGGGACGAAGACTAGCAGCAATAATAGTAGCAGCAATCAGGAGCAGCAAGAAACGCGCCAACGCTGCGAGTCACTGAGTCTCGGCGATTTGGCCGCCCTGGTCGAATTCTCCGTGTCGTTTCCTGATTTTGAGAACGAGATTGGACCGCCTCCCTATCAGGTTCACCAGAGCCAGACGGGGCTGCAAAGCTCCGTGCCGGCTGACGGCGATCAGCAGGGGCAAGATAATGACGATGATCAACGACGGTTGCATTCGCCAATTCCGACGGCTGCTGATTCGGCGAGAGCCCGGGGTGGAGAGGCGCCTAAGGGGGCAAGGCCAGCGCTAAAAAGCCCCGGACGGCCGCCCCAAGAGCGTAGCGGCCCGCCCGTAACCCTTCAAAGCAACACCGTTGACACTAAGCCCTCGGATGACAGCAGCGTGGTAGACAGCGACGGAGATGACGCAAAAAGCCTCGCTGTCCTGCAACGGGCAACGGAGCGGCTGGAGCGTGAGAAAAAGGGTGCTGAACAGCCCTCCAGTCACAACGACAATGTCGAGACCAAGGAGACGCCTACGCATTCGCTGAATAAGGGGGTGACCGACACTCCGCTAGTCGTCGAACCGGTGCAGTCCGCAGCTCCGTCAACGGACGCCGGAGGTAGTAGGAACGACCAGCCTAGGATCAGCGGCATTCGCAGGGACATCACCCCTTTAACCCTGGCCGGGAACCGCAACGGGGGACCCATTCCACTAACGCTGGTTGCCGAATGCTTGCCTCCACGCGTGTCTAGCAGGAGCGCCTGCCGCCAGCCTCAGGCTTCCCCACAGTCGACTCTGGATTCCGCATCTCAACCGCCGCGGAGCCTCCAAACACCTACGCTGGACAGCTTTCCACGACCGCAGCAGACCTTGCTCTCGCCGTTTCCGATCCAGTCCCGCCGTGCCCGCAGCGTGACGCCGGATGGTGCACCCGGACAGACAGCTGTTCGCCCGAAGAAGAGGAAGAAGAAGCAGCAGCCTCCGCCGTACTATTATGGGGTTGCAGACGTAGCTCCTCCCCCAGCTCCGACAAAGCCCCTCCCCTCACTGCCGCAGTCCAACACGTCCCGAGATCAAGAGTCGAGCTCAAGGAGGAGCACGGGAGACACAGAGAGCGCAATGTCGTCGAGCTCAGAACACGCCGGAATGACAGTCCCAGAGAAATCAACTCAGCAGCATATGGATAGTCCGACTCTGGGATCGACGGGGCGGCTGAAAATCCGGAAGCACCTGACACCTCGGCCCTCCTCTTCCCGTTCAACGTCGAAGAGCGTTGATATGTCAGAGACAATGCCCAGCTCGAGGGAGGACCGGCATATAAAGAGTACGTCGTCGGCAGAATCCAGTTTGGAACAGGCGCTGCGGGATAGGGCCGAAAGGGTTCATGCTCTCCGCATGAGAGATATGTCTGTTAGCAAAGAGCGGAGGCGCAGCGGTAGCCCAACTCGGAGTCTGCGAAATGGGACTTCTTCGAGAAAGGACGACGAGGACACGGGAGCTCGGCCGGCGGAGGCTGATGCGGCTGACAGGAAGATCAAGCGGAATGAGAAGCACCGCGTCAGTGATGCTCCGAGTATTCCTCTGCCCATGGATCCCCCCGTCACCGCTCAGGGCGCTCCCTCGACGACTCGCCGGAGACGGTCCGGTTCGTCATCGTCTTTGCCTTGGTCCGTCGCCGCTTTGAGAGGTTACGAAGGGGATGCTGTTTCGAGAAGCAACAGTGTCCGAAGCACCAGCGTTACAGACTCCAGCATTCACTCTGGGGGGAACACACATGCTACAACAAATGGCAACACCAACGGCTATCACCACCGACGATCTGAGTCTTCGTCTCTGCCTTCGTCTGATGAAGAAGGTGTAAGCAGGCGTAGGCGGTCTTCTCCCTCCCATGCGAATGAGGAACAGAACCGAGAGCGGCGTCGTAGTGGTGACGACCGTCCTCGCAGCCAGAAACAGCAGGAACAACAACCGCCCCATGCGCCTGAGGCTGGGAGGAATCATTCTAGTGAGGCGCAACAGAATCCGCGGGCTGGAGATCATGTTGCCTCGCATGTCCCGAGGGGCCGTGACTCTTCGAGCCAGGAACACTCGTCCCCGAAGTCTCAGTATTCTCAGCGCACGGCATACTCACAGGAGTCTCGGTCAAGTCTCCGACATTCAGGCCACTATCTCCACCCGCTCGAAGCTCGGGTGGCGCAGTTGGAACGACAGAACAAGATGCTCCAGGCTGCGCTCCTCGCAGCGCTTGATATCGGCGTCTCTTACGATGCCGAGTGCGTCCGTAGTGGCCTCCCAAGCCCGCTGTCCTCATACAGCACGAGACTAGGTTCGTCGCTGGGCGGTCTGGGATTCGATGAGACCAGGTACGAGCGAGAAAGGACGAACCGTAAGTCGTATCCTACTCGCCGCCCGGACAGTTGGGCTAGCGTCCGCGACCAGCATTCGCGAGGGAGCCAGGGCAGCTTCGAAACCCACAGTTCTGAAAGCGATGCCAGTGTGAGAGCCATGGAGAACATGCTCAGCGACTTGGACGTCAGCGAGGCGTCGGGGGAATGGAATGAGGAATGGAACTGTCACACGCGGCGGTCCTAATCTGGAACGACATAACTTATGGATGCGCTTGTCGATGAAATCCTTTAATTTTTGATTCATGACAGTCACTTGATGGGTTTGTTGCCTTGTTTTTTTTTAATGCATCCTGCAGTTTTTTTTTCTATGTTTCTGAACCGCTACATCAGATACCACTGTGCATTTTGATGTTTTCATTTGTTTTCTCCCTTACCCCGTGTTCTGATATGGAAGGGAGCGGAAGTGTTTGTTCGTCGATCTAGCAAGATGCAAGGTACTTACTCACATTGTGTATTGTTTCATTTGTACTGGAATTGGGCGGATATCTGGTTTTTGATGTTTGCAGTTTTTGCGGTCTGGACTTTTTTTTTGATTTCCCCTCTTCTCATTTACTGAGCTATTGCTGTGAGCTATTGCTGTATAGTAGTGGCTACTGTGGATAACGAATGGGAACGTGTATGTACTGTACAGTAGTAGTACAGAGTACGGAGTATGCAGAATTCAGATAATGGCTAATTCGTCAATAATCCCGCGTCATAAAAGTCATAACCTATCATTTCTGTCTACTTGGTAGTTGGTACAGAGTAAGTAATTAGAGAGTGTCGGAATGCAATGCAATGCAATGTAATGCAAACAAAACTTTCGCTGCCGTCTGTCTGTCATCGGTCGATCGATCAATTGGATGTAACAATAACGATTTGTTTGTTGGTTTGTTGTTTGTTTTTGTTTGGTTTGCTTTGCGTGATTGGGGGCTAGCAGGAAATTACCAGGTAGTATAGAGAGGGTAGTAGGTACTGTACGCTACGGTGTAACTGTAACTATACAGGGGGGCTCGTGAGTGGCTGATGTGTTTGTTTGCTTTTAATAATTACTATTAATACTCCATACAAGATTCTATTCAATCAATGTCTGCAAGGTGCCGGGGCACAGACAGCATGACTACGGAGTACATGGCTAGGCCGTCTCGTCTCTTTCGATGGCCATTCTTTCCGCCTTGGGAGTAATAGCCTTCAAAAACATCCGCCCAGTCAGTTCCTGTCCCTCGTTCGCCACAGTTCTGGGAATCGTAATACGATCCTCGGCAGGGAATGCCTGCTCGACGTGCCTCGTCTTGGAGGGGCTCGTCACGAGGAATTTTACTACCGCTCGGCTCTCATCTGCCCGTACCAGATCCATGATCTGCCTAAAGACGGACCCTGTCTCTATCGCGTGCTTATCGGTCTCGTAGAAGTTGATGCCGTCCAGCACGCAGAAGAGGACCGTGCTGGCGTGTAACTGTGCCACTAGGTTGATGAAAAGATCTTGCAAAGCACCAAGTTCCATACATCCGATAGCATGGACGTCACGGCGTTTCAGGAAAGCAACGTCATAGCCATCTTGGCAAAGAAGCTGAGCAATCAAACTCCGGAGGAGACCTCGCGCGCCTGTTAGAGGATCATGCGGAGCGGAATGGATGCCGCAGAAGAAATGCACCACGCGGGCCGGCTCAATGTCTGCGAGGCTTCGGATCAGCAGGCCGCAAAAGAACGAGACTGGAGATAGCTTCTCCGGGTCAGAATTTCCGTGGATGAGGACCGCATCCGAGTGTGGTGAGTTGAGCCATTGCTGGAGACGCTGCGAGCGGAGGAGCCACAAGGCGCGGCTCTGTAGTGCCAGGGACTGGTTTCTGCAGGCGGAGATGACCCGCTGTAGTCCTGCTTCCGCAAAATGGGGTTCGATGTTGATCAGATTGAATAATTGCGGCTGATCGATGCATCCACCCGGAGCCGGTGACGGGGAGAGGGCCACGCGGGATGCGAACAGCTTCTGTAAATTTTGATAGCTCCTCGGATTTCTCTGATTTCGCCTCCTTTCTTTCCTCAACTCTTCTAGTAGCCTGGCAGCCTCCATTTTCCCTGGTGGGAGGTCAGTCTTGAAGGAAATAGCAGCAAAGGCAGTGATAACTTACACTCAGATTCTTGAACACGGTCTCTCAGCATTGTGAGCATGTAGTTTTCAAGCCTCGCAATTGTCATCCTGGATTCATCGGCATCTGCAAACAGTCACATTAGTGTCAATTTTCAACATTGAAATGGTGAGCAAGTGAGACTCGCAACATGAGCCTCTCGAACTTCCTCCGGGCCTCGCGAACAAGACCGTCAGCGCACGACTGGATCTGAGAAATTCTTGTTTCCATCGAGGAAGTATATTCGCTACCTTGGACAAGGACCTTGGCGTGTTTCACTGTTTTCGACTGAGCGGTCGAGCTGATCGAACAGCAACTGTTGAAAACTTGACCTACCTGCTGATTTTGTGTAGAAGACCAATACTTCCTCTAGAGCGGCGAGGATGGCAACGTAGAAGGCTACCGTGGCGCGGTGAATTCGCTCATCCACGTCATACTCTTCAAGATAATCGATCACGTTTTGCAAATGGCCAGGAACGCTCTCTAGGCCCTCCAACGCAGTAGCTCGCAGCTTCTGCATGCGCGTGGCGGCCTATCTCTCTCCTCTCAGCACGTTCAGAGACTTTACCTTGACAGTAGCGGAGACGGAATGTACGTACATCAAAGATAATCCCCAGACTGACACTCAGGATCGAAGTGTAAGTTCCGCTGGGGATGAAGGCTGTGTACGTCTTTAGCCCGGCCGCATGCTTGCCAACCCATCTCCATGGGAGATGGATTTTGGAGGAACAATTCACTGCCGTATACTTGGCCTCTGCCTCCTTGACCTCTTGGAAGATGGCATCCCATGTTGGTTTATTGCGGATGCTGAAGCGGCTTTTGGCGAGAGACTTTGGTAGAGGATGGGAGTCTTGGAAGGCAGTAAGGGCTTCCGCGAAGTACTTAGCCTGCAACTCCCTGCCCCTCTCAGCGGGGACGACATGCGCAGATGGCCTTGGACTGTGGATGTATTGCCTGGGAACTGGATCGTACTGGGCCTTGGAGTCTGCAAAGGGTTTCTCAGATTGTCGAAGTTTGTTGTCGATGAAATCCACGGCGGGCTCGTGGAGACGGATCACCTTATTGCTGGCCGGCAAGTATTTCACTTCCAACTGTGCAACGATGCGTCTTTCCTGTTGTGAAAGCTCCTGACCAGGCAAGCGCGGTCAGCAGAACCGCCCAAAGAAGGCGAAGGGCGGCTGAATCTTAAATTCCGAAATATTATTAATTGGAACCGACTTCTTCGAACCAGGAGTGTTTCTTCTGTCAAGCAATCGGGAAATACTCTCAAGCATACCAACAATATTCTAGAAGCAAGACCTGCTCCTCCATTCCAGCGGCAACATTGCATCGACGAATCCTTCAGAAAGTTTTGCTATCCTCCACAGCAAACATTCTCATGGCTTCTTCTTCCTCTGAATCAAAGAGTTGACTAGCCCTAAGGTGACTTTTGTGCGATCATCTATCGGCAGAGGCCGGTATGCAGTTCCAAATGAAGTAGAATTCCCAAGGTCACGGAAAGCCCCGATCTCTAGGGACGATTCAACGAATGGAAAGACATCAAGTGAGGACGCCTCTTCTTCCCGGCCAGCAAACAAACATGGCTGGCACAGGCGGCACATGAAAGACAGTATAGTCGACTTGGAAAAAAAATTCAAGCGCTTTCACGAGCGAGAGAGAGTATCATCGGCACCAGAATCATACACATCACGTCCAATAAGACAAGAATATCATCCAGTTATTCCTCAGTTTAATCCAGTGGAGTGGAAAGATTTTCGCGCGCTACTCTTCCGAAAGAATGCGCCTGCAGAGACCTATGCTATTGACATTTTGGTCGGAGAGCCGAGATTTGGTGACTCGGATTCTCTGCTTGCACAACCAGTCTCGGAGAGTGCGCAGATTGTTAAGCTGAAGAAATCGTCGCTGGTCTGCACTGAGTATGACGGCCCATTGCCGGAGCGCATCAGGATCAATTCAAAGCCTCTTATTAGAATTCTAGAAAAGATCCGTTTTGGACCCGTATCTCCTGACCTCAATCCGGTTCTAATTTCCGCCCATTCAGGGCGTTGGTGTATTATGAGGAACAACTGAAACATTGGTGCAGCAGGCTCGAACGATACTGTGCACGAGTTGACAACTGCAAGCATCCAAAAGTCAACGAGACAATCAGTGTCCAAAGGCGAAAAGGTACATCACTAGAGAACGAAAGAAGCAAGCCAATTCCGTCTGTCCGATCACTGTTGTTGATGATGATGGTGATGAGGGCGATTTTGTCGATTTCTCCCCGTGTTGGGACAACATCCATGCCTTGCATGACATCCGACTTCTGATGAGCTTCATAGATCACAATATCAAACCTCACGTGGCCTACGTCAACAGCGATAGATGTCAGAGTATTGGGTTTCAAGATCTCTGGTATATCTTTAAATTGGGCGATGAAGTCTACTCACCGAGTCGTGATCAGATATACCGGGTGAGCCGGGTCTTCAGCAGCCCTCATCGCCCTAGTGTGTTCAAAATACGATGCTATCACATGGATTATAATGGGAATGTCTTTGGCCCTGGCGCGCAGACCTTCAGTATTGATGAGTACCGAGGGGAGCGAGAAATCTTCCCTGCGTGTTTATCCTCTTCGATATGCCCAGGGTCCTGCAGAGATTCGAGAGAGATTGTTAGAACGGGGTAGGAAGTTTATGGAGGTTGCTCAAGTCAAACACATGCACTACAAAGGCGTTACCATCAGTGGCTATGAAGAAGTGGATAGTCAGGTGATAATTGATTTCGAGCAAACTATTTTGCATAATCCAGACTGGATTCCTCAAATCGGCGAGGATGCAGACGATAGAAGGATTTTCGATTTGGATTTCTCAGACTTTGAGAACAGCCCCCGGAATGTAGATTTGCACTGCGGCCTTGATCTGTGTTGTGGGGGAGAAGCAATTTACGACGACACTTTTGTTGACGTGAGAATGAAAGATGAGTTCCTGAAGAAGAACCCCTTGGTGGTGACTTATGCTCGCCCTCGAGCTGTCATCGCAGAGGGGTCGTGTATACGAGATGAAGAGCTCGTTCTCCTGACGAAGCGTGTTTTCGGATTCATTCTGACCAGTCGAAGATGGGGTATGTTTGCCTCAAATCCCACTGGTAGACCATTTCTGACTCGCTGACCGACGGACCTCCTCATAACGACTTTCAACCTCAACAATCTGCGGGAAGTTAGGCATGTGTCGGATGCAAATGGCTTTGATCGGCTCGTACTCCCAGGCTATCACAAAGAGATGATTCGTGGTCTCGTAATGCAACATTTCCAGGACAAGCAAGACACCTATCTTGAGGATGAACAGATTGATCTTGTTCGTGGCAAAGGTAAGGTCAAGAACTCATGCCCCCGTCGGATATCTGCTAATCACATTCCCACAGGGAAGGGCTTGATCATTTTACTCCACGGGGCACCCGGTGTTGGGAAAACATCGACTGCAGGTATGAGAGCGATTGCCCCGGAGTGCTCGCGAAAGCTAGCACTAACAGTGGATTGAAGAATGTGTTGCAGATTCGTTCGAAAAGCCCCTCTTCCACATCACATGCGGTAAAGCAGCACATCTGAATGTCTTTTTGCTGTCATCTTGCTTAATTGAATCTAGGTGACCTTGGCCTAACTCCAACTGACGTGGAGGCCAGATTAGCAACTAATTTTAGTCTGGCACATCGATGGGGTTGTATTCTCCTCCTGGATGAAGCAGATATTTTCCTATCAGAGCGCACGAAGGAAGATTTCACGAGAAATAGTCTTGTATCTGGTGAGCCGAGTGTGCAAGGAACCGGGTTTGTACGGCGGAAAATGTAATGGCTTACACGCTCCAGTTTTCCTCCGCATGCTCGAGTACTACGCTGGCGTCCTCTTCCTGACTACCAACCGTGTCGGTGTGTTCGATGAAGCCTTCCGATCCCGAATCCATTTGAGTCTCTACTACCCACCTTTGGACGAGACATCCAGCATAAAAATGTGGAAACTAAACATCAGACGGATCGAAGAACGAAAATCAGAGACATTCCGGATCAGGAAGAAAGAGATCTTGGACTACGCCAGCGAGCACTTTAATTCCAGCGTGGACGGCCGGTGGAATGGTCGACAGATCCGAAACGCTTTTCAGATCGCGATCGCCCTCGCGAAATACGAGACTAGAGGCAAGAAAGGTCACGGTGATGGAGGCAATGATTCATCTGCTCAGCCGATTGTTCTCAGCAAGCGCCATTTCCAAAAGATCGTCCAGGCGTCGGATGAGTTCGACAAGTACCTCAAGGATCTTTACGGCCAATCTATATCTCAGAGAGCCTACGAGGCGAACCGTCGCTACGATGATTATGGCCGCATACATCAATCTCGATCGAGCCCTTTTGTCAGCAGTTGGGAGCCGAGCTATGATTATCGTAGTAGACCTTACACACAGACAGAGGGCCCCTTAATGGCCAAGTCTATCAAGCAGATATCCCCGAGATCAAACGGTTCAAGGAAGAAGGTGGAATTACCATCTACAGAAAGCGAAGACAACGACTCTAGTAGTGGTAGCTCTGACTCCGACTATGGTGATGAAAGGTCTAAATTGGATCCAGATTCTAGTGAGTCCGGCACGGAAAATACAGATAATGAGGAAGAAGATTTCGGAAATGAGAGCGAGGAAGAAAAGAAGAAGATCGAGAAAAGAAAGAGAGGTAATCACAAGAAGAAGAAGAAGAAGAAGAAGAAGAAGAAGAAGCATAAGGCAGCAAATGGTAAGAAGCGCAGCAGGAAGAAGTCGAAGACCCATACGGGCAGGCGCTGGTTCTGAATTACTGTTGCTGAACTGCTGGAGTTTGAAGAACTACAAGCACCTAACCGAAGATGACTTTGCACTCTGCCCATCAACGAGATGGCTTCTAGTTACCAGGTCCTCTGTTAACTTTTGAGAATGAACGAATCCAGTCCTACTTGAAGGGTTCTGGCCTCTTCAAAGCCCAGCATTACTTCAGATCTGATTGCACGGCAATCTAATCATTCAACCACATTCCATTTAATGATGACCCTTGTTCAAGATATGGGGTCATGAATCACACGAAGAGAGAATCAATTCCAGTTTGCGTTTGGTCTTTTCATTCTACCAACAGACGCACCAGATCTTGACCCGCTTCTCCAGAGATAAGCGCCATTCGATCATCGTGGACGAGCACGTCCGCTTTGCTGGCTATATAGTGGGCGACCAGCCCTCGCAGCAGTGACCCCGAGGGGTCGTCCCTGTTGGTGTGGTCGTATGTGTACTGCACTAGATCAAAGATGTCCCACAGGTTCTCCTCCGTCACGGGGAACTGGCACATGTCGTGATACAGGTAGCTGAGACTGAGATCCTGCAGCGGCTGGATGAGGTACCTGGTAGCGAAATCGTATACTTTCGCGTGGAAGGTCAGCACCGGCGACCTGTCCGGCGGCGCCGGTGTGCTTGGCTCTACAACCTTCTGGGCTTTGAACGACTTCCAGAGTCGCTCTGTGACGCGTTCTGGTTCAGGTTGCGGCACTTCATTCCATTCGACGAAACTGGATGTCTTCTTTTTCTTCTTCTTGCCTCCTCGGTGTCCCGTGACCCAGCTATCAAACACCTCATTTTCAACTTCGATGATATCCGGCGGAGGAGAAGATACCGGTTCAGCCACAACTCCGTGACTATGAACATGTGTGTGCGCATCTCCAGCGTCATTTTGAGCGTCTCCGTTCTTTAACGGTTTCAACGGTTCCCCGGGAGATTCTGTCTCTGGTACCACAATATCAGGAGTGGTATAAGACCCCTTGTAGGCAAACTCGCAGAATGCAACGAAAACGTCGACCTCGATATCGTCCAGGACAGCCGTGCCGGTCCTCGACTCTCTCATGTGGCCGTTGTTCATCATATTGTCGAGCGGCTCAGAGAGCTCCTTCGCTAGTCCTCTGTGGACCGTGATGCAGGTCTGCTCAGGTCCTACGAGGAATGTAAAATGGGCAGAGACGAGCAGACTGGATAAGTTAGGGGCTTTTTCTCTTTAATGCCGGATTTCCCAAAAAAAAAACGTACCTTTTATAGTCTCGATAATGCGACATTATGGATATGATATAAATCTCTCCTGCTATGTTGTATCAACGTAACCACAAAAAGATAAAATATATTACGCAATCAACGGAACCTGCATCAGTGAAAGAAGAAAAAGAAGCGGTTCTTCCCATCATATAGGGAGAAAGAGGGGTATCTCTTTCAACCTGGAGCTGATATGATTCCTTCCCTATTCAGGCTCATGCAGATGCAAAATGACCTGGCACAACTTGCTGTCGGCAGGCATGGCCTTGACTTCTGGTTGGATGCGGGAATTTCGATCTGGACCAACATGAACATCTTTCGATCAGAGACAAGAGAATGTCTCCTTCAATGAAGAATATAAATTCAGGTATTCCTTCATTTTCTTCGTCTTGTTCATGATGTGTCTGTACTGAATGCTATAGCCTATCTGACAAAAATGGAAAGCGCAAGGTTAGTTCCTCTGCCACGTGCCATACCCACGTGGTTGGCCTTTTTCGATCTGGATTCCACAACTAAAACCCCATCAGTTATGTTCCTATCATCCCTCACCGTTGAGTCTCACACATCCTGCCAAGGCTTCCAGAATGCCGAGTCTGTTTCCAAGTCTTTTCTCGGTGACGATTTTCGGCATCGCCAAACCGAATGGGATCGATGAGCCGTGAGGCACTGGGCTAAGAAGGGACAGAAACAGGGGGAATTTTTCTTTTATTTATGCCTTCCTTGGCTTGTGAAAAGTTTGCTTCTGTCCTGCAGCCATTCAGTGACTGCCAGCCATACACATGGACGTGGATCGCATCCCCTGGACGATTCAAAGGTGGATTAAGTTAGTTGGAACAAAGTGCCAAACATCACCTCTTATGCTAAGCTCAGAGCTTGGTGATAAAGCCAAGCAGCCAAGGATGGTCTAGGTCTGCCAGGTCTAGGTAGGGCTTCATATGGTTCCCTCCAAATAAAGTTTTCTGCGAACTAACAGTTTTTTTTTTTTGCAGGGCTTCCCTTCGGCAATTTTTCCTGGTCTTGAAACGTCTGGTATGGCATGGAGGCCAGAGCGTTCGATGGAAATCCAGAAATCGACTACTCCTGTGAACCGTGGATGAGTGCAGTGGAAGACAGCACGGGGTATGGAGTACTCCATGTGGCTTAGGTCCCTACAGGTGCTCTGAAATGATTTAATAGTCCTCATCATCACTGACCCTCGCAGAGCGCGGCTAGGCCTCTGCCCCGGCTTCACTCCCGCCCATCTGGGTAATCTCCTGGGCGTTTTCCGAGATCGATCTCCCGCGAAGCATTGACGCACGTGGTCGATCTGGCGGCTTTTATTAGCCGCGGAGGTCACCCCCGCCAAGGCGCTATCAGACAGCCTCTTCTCCGACTTCCGCTCCTTGGCAGCGCCTGTCCGCCATGGTGCACGGTCTTGGCAGCGGCGACGGGCTGGGAGCACGTTGCTGACTGGAGCCGTCTTATTTGTTATCGGCCTGTTTATCTCGAACAATGCCAACACGAGATGCAGTGCGGAAGGCTTGACATTTATGTGCCTCTCGCACCGTGAGTGCTTGGCAAACCCTTCCGCCGAGGATTCATGGTCCATCATGACGCTCCGACCGCGCCTCTAGAACCAACTTCGGAGGTCAACCTGGGTTTGGTTTCAGCGTTGCAACGGTATGGCTTCTTGTCATTGCGCCAGGTAGGGACATTCCAATCTGTCATTGCTTGATATCGTCCGCGTGGCTGAGGTGTGACTTGGCTGGTTTCCGCTCAGGCCTCTGGGCAGAACACATCAGAACTATGGAAGCATGTTCGAAACAGCACGGACTGCATCAGTCTGTGAGCCACACACATAGGAAAGAAACGTTCGCCATCCTTGAATTGGACATGATATTACGATCCTGCTCCACTAGGCAGCTTGTTTGTCTGCTGCCAGAACGAGATGATTGGCAATCCGATGGTGGGATGCGATCTTTTCTCCCTATTCAACTTGGAGAGTGGAACGACGCCTTGGATCAATGCCGAGGTGCTCGAAGTTTGTCAGTATCTAGTCCTGGTTCTAGAGTTTCCGCTGTTCTTACTGCGTGCAATCCGATTCACCTGCATTGGGTAGTGTCCCCGTCGTGGGGGGTTGTGATGTGATGCCAAGGGGGGTTAGAGTCGGGCGAGACGAGCCTGTATGGGGCAGCGAGGACGCCTCCACCGGTGCCCCTCGTACGTTGAAAATGACATCCGATCTATATATATTAGGATCATCCCATCTAGCTGAATGAACTTTTCAGTCGACTGGCCGCTTCCCCTTTGCCATCCCTGACCGGCACGAGACGCGTGTCGAGAAAGAGTGGTTCATCCAAGAGGAAACCCCTCTATTCTCTTCTTTCCCGAGCGTATCTCACACTCTCCTTCATTGCCATGGCTTCTCACAAGCCCGACGAGACGGCCGTCACGGCCTATTCCGCTCACTCTTCCCCGGTCATCGACCCAAACGAGCAGCGTCGTCAGGCCCTCGCCAAGATCGACAATGCTCGCTTTGGCTGGCGTCACGTTCGTGCCATCGTCGTGGCCGGTGTTGGTTTCTTCACTGACTCCTACGACATCTTCGCCATCAACATGGCCTCCGCCATGTTGGGTGTTGTCTTCTGGCTTGGAGCGAGCAAGAACCCGGGAAAGATCCCCTCCAGCGCCGACACGGCTATCAAGGTCTCGACTTCCGGTGGTACTGTTATTGGCCAGCTGCTCTTCGGATTCCTCGCCGACCGTGTCGGTCGTAAGCGCATGTACGGTCTCGAACTGATCATCATTATCTTCTCTACCCTCGCCCAGGCTCTCTCTTCTGATTCTCCGGGCATGTCCATCGTTGGTGTCCTGATCTTCTGGCGTGTGGTCATGGGTATTGGTATTGGCGGTGACTATCCTCTGTCCTCCATCATCACCTCTGAGTAAGTTGTCTTCAGATTGAAACCTCTATGGACAGAAGTTAATGGTATCAGATTCGCTACCACCAAGTGGAGAGGTGCGATGATGGGCGCTGTGTTTGCCATGCAGGGTTTCGGTCAATTGGCGGCGGCCCTGGTCGCTCTGATTGTCACGGCCGGTTTCAAGGGTTCTTTGGAGATGGCTGACAAGGTGAATCACTGCACTGGTGCCTGCCACGAAGCTGTCGACAAGATGTGGCGTACGGTCATCGGCTTCGGTGCTGTGCCCGCCTGCATTGCCCTCTACTACCGTCTGACCATTCCCGAAACCCCTCGCTACACCTTCGATATCGACCGTGATATCGTCAAGGCCGGCGAGGACATCAACGCGTACATTGATGGCAAGAGGGAGGGTCGCCCTGATGAAGTCCAGCGCGCGGCCGTCCTGCAGGAAAAGAGCTCCCAGTTGGCTGCTCCCAAGGCTTCCTGGGCGGACTGGTGGGCTCACTACAGCCAGTGGAAGAACGGTCGTGTTCTACTGGGCACGGCTGGCTCTTGGTTCTTCCTTGACGTTGGTATGTATTTGAAAACTTCCTGCATAGTCATTGATCATCTGTGCTGACGTTATGTCCTAGCATTCTACGGTCTTGGTCTGAACAACTCCATTATCTTGACTGGTATCGGCTACAATGGTGGTTCTACCGTCTACCAGTACTTCTACAACAACGCTGTGGGCAACTTGATCCTCATCTGTGCTGGAGCTATCCCTGGCTACTGGGTGACGGTCGCGACCGTGGACTGGATTGGTCGCAAGCCGATCCAGCTGATGGGGTTTATCATGCTGACTGCTCTCTTCATTGTCATTGGATTCGCTTATGACCCTCTGAAGAACTCGCACAACGGTCTTCTTGGGCTGTATGTGATCTCGCAGTTCTTCTTCAACTTCGGACCCAACGCCACCACGTTCATCGTTCCTGGCGAGTGCTTCCCCACGCGGTATCGGTCGACCTCTCACGGCATCAGCGCTGCATCTGGTAAGATCGGGGCCATCATCGCGCAGTGTGTGTTTGGACCGCTGATCTACCGGGGTGCTCCTGCTGGCTCGTCCGACACGCCGTGGCTCAAGCATGTCATGCAGATCTTTGCGCTGTTCATGCTGTGCGGTGTCTTCACGAGTCTGCTGATCCCGGAGACGAAGGGCAAGACTCTGGAGGAGCTGTCGGGTGAGGAGCCGTACTCGGCCAGCGCAGAGACCATTGCTGCTCCTGAGGATCATGCGAAGCTGGCTGAGGAGGGCCGCAACGGGGTCAAGAACTAGGCTTGCACCTGCCGACTAGACGATTGTGCTGCACTGTATCTGCACTGTAATCCCGGAGATGACGTCGAAACGATAAGAAAAATACCCCTTCATTTCCTTCGTTTGCAGGCCTTCGCTTTGAGAAGCGAATGGTTTCTTATTTATTGTATTATTCGATTCGGAGAGGTGGAAGGTGGAGGATTTCCTTTCTCATCATTATTTTCTTCAGCTTAGATAGAATATCTGCTTGTTCTCATCTTTAATCGGCTACTGCAATGTATACGAAATGGAGAGAACAGCAGTCAGGTAGAACTATATAGTGATCCCTTAATCAGTAATCACTTCAAAAAAATGCAAATCATGCCATAAAATTTACGATAAAGTCAGTGCACGATATAAATTTCCCCATAGCTGCTAATTTCTGATAAACCAGAGTCCCAATTTGTTATCGATGTTCCAGAACAGGGTTCGTCCGTTTGGTGGATCCGTACCTTTGCCAGAGTGGATTTTCCCTATTTAACTTACGCACCTCCCTCCTTCTCCAGCCGTTGAAGTCGATTCTTTCTCATTTTCTCTTCCCTTTGATTTTTATCCCTTCCTTTGCGCTTTCTCTGCGCCTTTTTTGCTGTTTGCCCACAGATCTGGGACCTTGTTGTTCTTCTTCCTTTACTCCAGACAAGGCTGATCTTTTGCAAACTTTGCAACAAAAAAAAAGCCCTGTCTATGCAAGACGGTGCATATAAATATTTCCCGAGCAGAAGTGGCGCAAAAAATAACCCTAAAAAAGAAAGAAAGAAGTCAAATAAACGAAAGAATGGGGAAAGGGAAAAACACGACAGAAGATAATCCGCCCACAACTACTACTGATTCTACTCCTACTGCGAGAGCAGCAGCAACAACAACAGACGGGGTCAGAGACGACATCCCCCCTCTAACAACCTACCAAGCCAACGCGAAGAATGACCGCATAGACGCCCTGCGGCTTGTCGCCGACAGCGTCGCGCAGCAGCGGCAAGAGGCCAGCAGGGCCGTAATCTCGCACCCGGCAGTACTGGCCCTCACGACAGCCGTGCTGGCGATCGTTTTCGGAGCGCTGTACCACGACCGCAGCGACCTGGGGCTGGTGCTGACCACGATGGCCGGGTGCGTGATGGCGGGTTTGGCGGGGGTCGGGTACGCGACGAGTGGGTATCTCGAGCTGGCGGAGCGGACGGGCACGTGGGCTTGGCTGTACGGCCGGGAGAGGGAGAAATCGGGCGCCATGAAGGAACGAGAAAAAGAGGAGGATATCATCCTCGTGACGAAATACGGCGACGAGATCATCGGCACGGTCGTGCTGCGTCTGCTGACCTCGGAGCAAAATTCAGAATCGTCCAAGTCCAAGAAATCGAAGTCGAATGCTAAGTCCAAAGATCCAGGACCAGGCTTCACAGCTGTCATCCGCGCCTGGACCGTCAAACGCCGCTATCGCACCAAGGGCATTGGCACCGGTCTGCTGGAGGAAGCGGTGTCGCTCTGCAGGAAGAATTCCTGGGAGGGGCCTGTCTTTGATGAGCACCATGCCAATTCTGTGCGGTTACTGCCGGCGATGTTTCTTGGGGATTTGTTTGAGAAGAGGGAGACGAGGGCGAGGCGGGCGTTGGAGAATGTGAAGAGGAGGTTGTCTTCTTCACCGTCATAAATGTTTTGTTTCAATGTGAATGGAATTTTTTGGTATCTGTATGATATAGTGTCTGTCCGTTTTGTCTGCATATCTCTGTGTATGGAATTGGTTGCATTACATTTATAGATGGAGTGATACACCTACTCAGATTAGTAAATATATGTATCAATCAATTAATATAATCTAATCTAATTTACAGTCCTTTTTCTCTCTCTATACCACTCGATCATATCAATTCACGTAAATATATTGACTATGTGCAGGGTAATATATATATATTTCAAGATGAGGTGGGTAGATGTAACCCTAACCCTACTTATCTCGTCGATGATATGTCATTTCTTTCATCTTTTTATTGCCCCTTCTATATCACAAAACAGGAATGAAGGGTACGGAAGGATTAGCCAGTCAGTCAGATTCATTATTCTAATTTCTTCAGGATTTGGTGCACTGAATAAATGAATATCTGAGATGGATGGCATTAGGGAGATGATTAAGCATGCAAATCTAATAACGTATTTCCCGGCTGTTTCGATCACCCGGTTGCTCCGATCACTAGAATACCCATACAAAATGCGTTTTTTTGTACGCTCATATCTCAACAAGCTTTAAAGATATTAAAGAGATATTTTATATACTATAATTATAAAGTATTTACAGCATACAGCATTAATCAGAAGTAGTCTACTGCATAAATCAATGAGACGGTTAGCCAGCTGCCGGAAACGGCGACATTCGACGCCATTTTCCGCGTCACTCTAACCGCCCGTTCCCACCACGCCCATCCCCCCTTCCTGCCACGCACCTCACCCCATCACGTGACCCATTGGCTGCTCCTTAGTGCCTGGCCCAGCCCGCACTTGCTCGCGCGCGGCTGCTTCCTCAGGACCCGTTCATCCATTTCATCTACTCACCTCACACTCACCCT